ATTAGCACTTCAGAACATTTCCTCGAGAATTTATTAGATAAATTATTTTATCAAAAGTTTCCAATGAAGTTCTACAAACCCCGCTAAAGAGTTTGTTCGTTATCTCTGCGAATAGACTGTTGATTTATGATCTTGAAAGTCGAGGTCAATATTGAAAGAAAAAGAAAAATTATAGCTAGAACGGAGTACCTATTCAACATATTAAGTCAAGGTTGGAATTGTTTATTATATAAATATAGTTAATAATATATTAATGGTTGGACTTGTTACATAAATATACAATATATATTAAATAAATAAATGATCACAAATAAAAAAAATACATTAATAAAAGTGGTTTATCTTTATTGTGAACATAGACATAGATAATTTTTTTTATGATTTAGGTAATAGATATTATGTGCATGTCAACTACTGGCATTTCACTCTCAATATGTATTTTAGAATCATAATTATAATCGACATGGTTGTTGATTTTTTAATAATATCAAAGACATTATAGAATACACTGGATAAAACATGAAAAAACCATAAATATTGTGATGTATTTTCATATTTTACTATTCCTGAGGATTATAGGGTAATATCACTGTAGTTAATGCTATACTTCATCCTTCAAAGAGTATTATCACAGATTATATCTATGATATTATATATCTTATATATATTATATGATAGTATTATATTATCTGTGCTGAAATAGAGCCTTGCATGTAAACACAGCTACTTAGTCGAAGAAACACGAGTAAATTCTATAACATGTAACTAATTTTATTTTTACGTTCGTGCTATTTTTAAAAAAATCCTGTCTATTTAAATATATATCAATACCAGATCCATCTCGTGATTTTGGCATTGTACATTATTATTGTAATGTGCGTATATTTTTTATTAGTGTGATAACTGTATATATTAAATATCATTCAAATCCGATTAACATTTTGTACGTAATTAAGTAACAAATATTCAAATATTTGTACATTTTACATTTATTTAAAAAAAATTAAGTTTATTAATCTAGTAATCTTGAATGTATATTCATAGTATTAATTAGTCCAGTACAAAGATATTTGTTTTTAAATTAAGGAAAATGTAAAAAAGCTGTAAGGAATATGAAATAGATTTGTTGAAAGTCAAGCAAAACAAAATACATTGGGATCACAAGAATCGTAAACATTAAAGTGGTGAGAGAAACACGTTATCGAGTTTAATGTGTTTAGGAGTCACCATTGAGAGTTGGCTATGAAAAGCGCACTCCAAACGTGATATCGCTGTACATTATTGTAATAACAGCACTCCGAGGCTTCTTTGACGTCGACTGGGGTCGTGTGTAACCTCTCATTTTCCTTACCGAAATTCAAAGGAGTTCTAACAAAGCTTTGTTTTGCATCGCTCGCTCGAAAAGCCGCTGAAAGGCTGGCTTTTTAGATAAGGTTCTCTTATAAATTTTCAGCATAGAGCAGACATTCTGCGCTAAAGTTTTTCGTTGTGGGAATGTGAGCAGATGGTGCAATTCCCATTCTAGTTCGGGTCGGCGTTTTGTCGAGTTATTTGCTGCCGTTCTCCTCGTTAGCTATGGTAATTGTATTTTGGATGTAAGGAATATCATTATAACGATTTACTTTTGTTTTTTTTTTCTTCATTAGTTATCTTCAATATCAAAATAATTATCCATATAACCATTTGTAAAGTTGCGCCATCTATTTCTATTAAAATCTGTACTATTACATTTTATCTATGGTTCATATAGAATTATTTTTAATGTATTTTCAATATCTGCATCGTTGATAATCGTTAATCGTTATCGTTAATAATGTAATTTAATACATATACATAGTTGAATGCTCATCAAGCAAGTTTTCTATTTTGACGTATCTGTCAAATTGAGTCCATATCGTTCTATGACACTTAGGTCACCGTAATAATAATCAAATTCCTTATTAAGCATAATGCATAGTCAGTCCTGAAACTATGTATATGTATGTATGAATGTTTTTTTGTGATTTCTGCCAAATCAATATGTAATTCGAGAAATTATTCATTATAGTATCACGATAGAAATCGGAGAGATTAAGTCTTGAGTTACATAAACAGAATTCTATTCAAACATAATCTCTATGTTATACGCATATTGTCTATGTGTGGGTGGTAGATTTATTACTAAATCAAGCTTTTATTACTGAAGTTCCATTAATCTATTCTATTAGATTTTTTTGCTGTTAAAATTGCTCCATCAAAGTGAAAGTAAAAAGTGAAGAATATTGTAATAAAAATGTAATAACATTATCTGGAGTGATAACTTTTTGTTCCTAATTGTGGACTTTCCGAGCATGAAATATTGTTTCGGTTAGTTGCTTAAACAAGTTTTAATTAAAAAGAAGAAATATTTTCTATCTACCTGCGTCTTTATAAAATAATAAAATATTGTTTACAAATTATTAACCGGATTTTAATGTACTCAAATTGAGATTTTGCTGATTGAGAGGTAAAATTTGTTTAAATAAATTAGATTTTTATTTTGACTTAATAAAACACTCTTGAATATTAAGTACGAATTTTATATTTTTTCATCACAAATCACTGCTCTAAAAGAACACACTCTTCTTTAGCAACTATTTAATAAAAACTTTGCATGCGCTTGTTTAAAAATTTCTTTAATAAGTGTGCAAAATATAGTAGGTATTTAAAAGTGAAGAGTCAAGTTTCCGGAACTGGCGTGATGCGTAAGACTTGTTATGAAAGATAATAATATATTTGTGAAGATAGAAGAATTAGGATTTAATTTTGTCTGCCGTCTCTGCAAAAGATTTATTTTGAAAATACATTATAACAGTTCATATTAACCTTTTAGAGAAAATTTGAATCCCTGATAGAATCCATCTATCTCGGGAAGTAAATTGGGACTCAAGTGTACAAAGTTGATAACATTATTATAAAATAATTACAATAATAATAGGCCATTTCTAGATATTATTTGACGTTGTAGAATAGAACCTAGTCCATATTTGATGTATATTCCTTGATAGTTTGGCTCGTTAGCATGAAATCTGACAGGCACCTGTCTGTGAAATATCACGGTTTAGTCAGATTTCGCATTGAATTTGCTATGCATCCTGCTTTGTCTGTTAAAACTCTATAATGTTTATTTAAATAGTACTTATATTTGAAATGAATACGACAAATATGAAAATTGGTATATTCAGTTAATAAAAAAAGTGTTTCTTCAATTGCAATTAGGAAAATTAATTATTCCAAAAAATATTTTCTAGTCAAAGCCTGTAACAGGTATAATAATCATTATTGCCATATTGACTTATATAATTGTAATTTTGGTACTCTGAAACTCATCGTAGTTTGGATAAAAATAATAGAGTTGCTTTGACACTATTCAATAATTTTAATTAAAGACTGTCAAAAAGCAATTTTTGATTTTGTTGGTCAAATAATATTTAACCTTTTCAAACAGAAACGAAATTAATTTTGTAATTAATTACGAATTTATTGAAATTTTGTTTATGCTTCGAAAACAGTTTTGAACATGACCATTTCTTTTAATTATATAGTAAACGTATTTCGCTAAAATAGGTATCAGAATAATAAACTTGGTAAACTTACTGCTTACATAAACGTAATTGTAAAAGTTATTTATTTTTTTTTTTTTTTTACAACACAGGGGGCAAACGAGCATGCGGCTCACCTGATGGTAAGTGACTACCGCCGCCCATGATCACCCACAACACCAGCGGCATTGCAGGTGTGCTGCCGGCCTTTTAAAAAGGAATATACTCTTTTCTTGAAGGTTATGTTGTCGTATCGGTTCGGAAATACTGCTGCTGGAAGTTGATTCCAAAGAATGGTTGTGCGTGGAAGAAAGTGCCTTGAAAAACGCACGGTGGAAGACCGCCACTCGTCCAGATGATTGGGATGAAACTTTAGTTTGTGGCGGGTTGTACGGTGGTGAAAATCAGCAGCAGGTATCAATCCGAACAATTCCTCAGAACACTCCCCATGATAAATTCGGTAGAAGATGCACAGAGACGCAACATCTCTGCGCAGTTTCAATGGGTCAAGTCGGACAGTAAGGCGTTGACTATCGATAATTCGAGCCGCCCGACTTTGAATGCGGTCTAACGGAAGGAGTTGGTACTGTGGCGCTCCTGCCCACAGGTGAGAACAGTATTCCATATGCGGCCTGACTTGGGCTTTATATAATTTCAGGCGGTGTTCTGGCATGAAATATCGTCTCACCCTATTGAGCACTCCTAACTTTTTGGAAGCTATCTTAGCCTTCTCCTCCAGATGACCGCAAAACTGGACGTCGCAAGATATATCAACGCCCAGAATTCCTAGACTTGACTTTTTATCAAGGGAAGTGCCCTGAAAGTGAGGAGATACGACAAACGGCGTCTTTTTTGCGGTAAACGCGCAGACTTGTGTCTTTTTGGGGTTAAATTGGACAAGATTTTGTTCACCCCAGATCGAAACTTGATGGAGTGAAGTTTCGATTTCAGACACAAGTCTATTCCGGCACTCATCGGTATGTGCCCGCGATTTGCTTTTATAGTAAATCTTTTTAAAACATTTATCTTTATTTTTACATAGGTATTATAATAAAGTCGTAACGAACAAAAAAAAATGTTTTCTGATACAACGAAACTAATGGTTTTTATTTTTTTTTTTCAGACTATTATATCGTAAATTGCTAATTTACGAAAAAACTACTGAAATTAGTGTGATGAAACTGTCATAGTATCTTAAGTTAAATATGTGTGAATACAAGTTAAATAATTATCTTCTATGAGATCAAATTGTTATTTTTCAAAGCAAAAAAAAAAAGATATAGTGTGAAATAATGTTGTATAAAATATAAATATATAAATATATTTGTATAATAAAGCGCAAAATGTTATCAGCACAGTTAGTATTAAATATAATATGAACTGTTGAATCAATTATATGAAAACTCAACTATGTGAAATTATATAGAAGACGTTACTTACCTATGACAGCGAGACGTATTTGAAAATTTCGTGTCGGCGAATTTTTAAAGTCCACTCTACATCTGTAGACGCCTTCGTCGTCCAACTGAACCGTGTCCAGCATCAAGGACGCTGGTCGGGCAACGGTCGCAAAGTACGCCCGCGGGCCAAATGCATTTGGATCTGACCACTGCAGCGCTTTGTTAAACGATCGCCCCCGAACGTCGAAGCTGGAAAATAAAAGAATATTAACATAGTGAGTTATACTAGTTATTTACCATACCATGTCAGCCATTAATTGACTGCTATTGAATATATAGCCCTTCCTGTATTGGGTTTTTTTTTTTTGATGGGTGAAAATGGTATGGTAACCCCGCCTGCGCTAACGGGATACGCTGGCGGAGCACCAGTGAAGGGTGATAGATGAGAATGAAAACAGGCCAGTTAGGCCATTATGATGAATTCATCAGGAATTAACCATGATAGCTTGCAGGGAGAACCGCGAGGAGGTCGACCTGGTTGGGTATATTGCTAGCAATGGGATTCTCAGTCTCCATTACTAACAATCCATTTCCCCCTGTATTGGGGGTTTTGCCAGTCGTTACCATGCTTGACAGGCGAATTAGCAACTGCCGTTAGGTCTTGGTAATGTTTTAAGATGGACGCTACTGCCTATTCCTCGACCATTAAGTTCCTTTAGTCGCCTCTTATCTTTTTATATATTGCCTTTTTATATATTATATACTACTTTTTACAATTAATAAATGTTTGCATCACAGAATGTAGAACAAAAAAAAAAAACACATACAATAATATCAAAAAACAGAATAAATGAATTTATTTATAAAGATTTAAAATCAAATAATGTTAAAAATATTTTGTTATGCTTTGACAATATTATTTTCATGCCCTACCTACTCTGCTAATCACTTCTCGCGAAGGGATGAGAACAAGAGTATCTATTAATTTATGAAACGTAACTTTAATAATAAAATTTAATAAGAAAGGTCTACGTTAATTTTATATAATAACGCAAGGATGAGAAAGTCAAATTTAATTAAAATCTATTTAGCAGATTTCACACGATGTATGCACATATTATCTATATGAAAACACTCCAGTTTTGTATATTACACACATTTACGTTTTATTAAAAAAATACATAAAATTTACATTAATGTCGAGAGTATAATAAAAATAAAGCTTTGTGTTCTGCTTTGCTAATTGTTTTTTTATAGCAGCCAATTATTACTTAAGTGAAATAGTATGTGTTCTAGTTGAGTAGATTATTATTTATTTATTTTACACTTTATTACACCATTTTTAGAATAGTAAATTTTAATCATAAATGATACAAAATGCGGCCTTATCGCTAATATCGAACAATTCTTGTTGAATTCGTTACGATGGGCCAACTGATCTGCTTCATCCTCACCTATCATCCTTCACTGGTGCCCCGCCGGTGTATACCGATAGCGTGGGGTTACCATTTCATTATCACCCATTAAAAAAAATCTCTTGGTAGATACCTTTTCATTAATGCATACTTTTGAAAAAATTAAAAATGTGACTACCATGAGAACCCCCGGCATAGAATAGGCCACTCCTTCTTTTCTTATGGGCATCGTAGGAGAACTTCTAGTACTGAGGGAATTTAATTGTCGAGGAATGGGTAGCAGGCTGCTACCCAGGCTGTTGTTTAAATAGGGATGCTACTACTAACAGCGTCCTTCTTTAAACGTCATCAAAAACCTAATCGCGGTTGCCAACCCTGCAAGGTCTGCAAAGCGTGACAAATATTGGCTAAAATCCCCTTATGGAGGAGACCTATGTTCAGCAATGGACAATTAACGGCTAATATGATGATAATGATGATAATTGTGAAAGAACGGAGACAGGTATTTGGTAATAATTCTGGATAGATTTAGTCTATGGAAATATATCTAGTAAATTAAATTCCTTTCGTGCCGTATTACGTGAACAATTATAAAATAAGAATTAAGAAGTATATAATAAAATATAACTTTGATACAATGTATTTTTATTTCGTTACTAACAGAGCCTATAATAAAAATGGGCTTTCTCATTCCTGTGGTGATTTATTGTGGCATTAAAAGTTGCGACTTTGGATTATAAAATCGCTAAGAGTACGTTTATTAAACAAGGAGATTTCATACCAAAGTCCCTGTAATAAAATCACAGATTCGGCAGTTTATCCGATTTTATCGATTCTTCAGTATTGGGTAGTTTACTGAACGGAACCCGTAAAAATACCTTGCTCTCGTAAACATGGCTCTTCCCTCTTTGTGTTTTATGCATTATCAATTTACTTATTATAGTCGCAATTTGTTGAATTTGTTAGATTGTGAGTTTAAAAAACGAAGTTAGTTTAATTGACTGTAGATAGTGCACGTTGTCAATCTGAAACTTTTCATTTCTTAGAAGCGCTGGTAACTTTATGCTGTAGGAACGTAACGACGGACTTTATTAACGTTATTAGATGTGGTAGTTTGCAATGCTACGCTTCGTTAGTTAGGTCAGTTTTTGAACTTGGAATAAGGTTTATCGAATCCTTATATTTTGTCTGATAGTAATAGAGGTGAAAAAATGCCTGGGCTGATATGCTATAGTGTGTTCTACTAACGAGTGCCGATCTTGAAATCATCGGAGTTGTTTTCTTTGTTTACTGTAATTTAACGCCAGAAGTATTTAGGAATAGTTTAGGTAGAAATTATAAGGAGGGAGGACCTCAGGAATAGCAACGCGTCACAGTGAACTCTGTAATCTCCGTGTTACTGATTATGTATCTATAGGTGATGGTTACCACTTTTCATCAGGTGGGCCGTTAGCTTGTTTGTCATTCTAAGTTTATTAAAAAAGAAGGTTGGTTATATTGTTCTATTACGCATAATGGCCTAGTTACGAAGCTAAGTGTGAAAATGCTTAAGAGGAAAATTTTGACAAAATTTTCTTTTATGTTAGCTATATACTCATACACTGCTAGCCATTTAAAGATGCTCCAAGTTGCTCAGCGCACAATGGAAGGAGCTATACTTAGAGTTTTACTACGTGATAAAATATGAAATGCGGATATTCACAAAAGAATTAAAATGACTGGCATAGTCTGAAGAATTTGTAAGCTGAAGTGGAAACTGATCATGTAACTCAGTCAACCGATAATTGATGGGAAAGAAATGTTCTAATAAGTGGCGACTTCGTGCTGATAAGTGCAGTGTAGGGTGATGTCTCCGCGTGATGGATTGACGATTTCAAAAGTAATGAAGGAAGATATTGGATGATGATGAATATGAAGGAGACCTAAGTTCGACAGTGGATGATAAATAGACTAATTATAACGATGAAGTCGTATACACTTGCACAATACAGGTGCGTTGTAGCGTGCTGTTATAGGTGTTTTATTATGACCGGACGAAATTGTACGGTGAGAATTGTCTATCGTTGGATTTAAAAATCCAGACAGACGAGGCAAATATAAAAGATATTTCGTCCGAAAAAAATATCTGTTGCTTGCATTATTTGATGTTATTTTTTAAGAAAAGATGAATTCCCGTGATAGTACACTATCGCTGTTATAGGGTACACCTTATATTGTTACTTGGGAAATGTTACGATATTTCCCAAGTAACGATAATTCACTCTGCGGCAGCAATTGTTTAGGATGTGTCAAAATTTTGATTGATATATTCGAAGAGAGTGTCTATAGAGACGGTAGTTTAATGGCAAAACAATGTATTGGTATTATGAGAGGTATAAAATTATTAAAAAATAAAATAAGTCAGGTTTTTCTCGAGTGTTGTTGTTGTAACGAACATGACATTCGACATCAGAAAATCAGAATCACATCAGAAAATCAGTCTTAAATAAAATCTAATTAAAATATTAAAGAATTTTAATTCTTTAAATATTTTTTTTATAAGAAAACACTATTCTCTAAGCCAGTAAATACGTATACGTATATTTTTTATGCGGCACGCTGTATACAAACCAACAATTTACTATTACTTGTAAAGTTATGTAAATAAATTTGCATTCTTTTGCGATAAACATTAATGGAATGTGCTAATTCGGCTTTTTATGTTATATTCTATTTTTTTTTATTCTAAGCCTATTGTAAAGAGTGCTGTTGTACTCTATTCTAATACGCTTATATCTCCTTTGTTTTCTCTAAATTCGTAGATTGTCGTTGTACTCGCATATCTATTTTTTACATGTTTTTCGGGCACATACTCGTAATTAATTAAAAACATACAACTAGATATCACTTCCGCTGACGCCTCCGTGGAATGTATAAGCTTGGTCGGTAGTTTATAGGGCAGTGTAGATATTTAAAAGCCGTCAACGCCCTAATAATAGGGGCAAACGACGCCGGGTGATTAATGACCAGATGGTCAGAATGTTACGTAAGCATGTTACCTCCACTTCGTTATGTGGGGGCTAGTTGGCGCATGATTTGTTGCTCCCTTGTTGCTTAGATAGGGTTGAGATAGTGTTTGTTACGAAACATGTACCTATAATTATAGTTTACATAAACTAATATGGAAATTCAGAATTGTTATTCACATAAACAGTGTGTGTTCAGGATTATTATTATTTTATATAACGGAGCGTTGTCATAGGGTTTTTTCCTCATTTCCATTAATAAGCATTTAAGGGAGTATTCTAATATTTTTTTGCAAAAAGGAAACATCAATTTCATATCATATAGATAGCTAGATAGATAGATACTCTTTATTGTTTCCTCCAAAAGATTACAATAGTAAACTTATTGTAAATATAAATAATTACAAGAAATAATCACAATGAGAAAACAATGGGCGACCTTATCGCTAAGAGCGATCTCTTCCAGGCAACCTTTGGATGGAGAGGAGTAATTTATATATATATATATATATATATATATATATATATATATATATAAATATATATATAGAGGAGTCATATCGGATCATCTTAACAATAAAGCTCTATACTTAGATTAAATAATAATTGTTAGACCTTCAATGAAAATATCTGGCATATGTCAGCATAAGTCAGTTAATATTATTCACAGGTGCTAACATAATTTAATGAGAAAGTACGAGGATTCCTGATTTTTTATTCAGTTCTATTTTACATATTTTTGTCAATGATGCATAATATTTTATTATTCTTGTAAAAACATAGACGTAACGTAAAAATCTTGTAAGGACTTATTTTCAGATATTGTTCT